TTCAGCTGGAATGCCATCATCTCCACTGGCCTTGTTGTTAGCCGTGCTTTCTAAGGCCCGCTTGACTTCACTCTCCAGGATGTCTGGCTCAAGGTGGTACTTTATTCATGGGTAGAGATTTTACAGCTTCATTTGTATACAAGGTGGCTGTTGGGGAGGGACAGGAGCACAGTCACACTGGAGCATCTTGATAGTGAATGATGCATTGCTCTGAAGTGTTGATAGAGACAGCAGACACTGTTGGTGCTATTATCAGCCTAGTACCCTTGTTTGAAGTGAAAACTAGGACACACACACTCCATTCGCACACTCCTCTGGCCATCTTGTATAGTTAAGATGAGCAGCAACACTCCATAACAAGGGACATTATTTTTTTGTTTATTTGTTTTTGGCTTAGAATGCTAATAACAATACATAATCCTTTAGGGCTCTCTGCTGAGAAATTACCTTTTAACACTAACATTCTAATCCTTGTTTTAACCCTTAGGGCAAGCATGTAATCCTATGAGGTCAATTAGATGGGAAGAGAGTGAAGAAAATTGTTCAGAAAGATTTATAACTCAACATAGATTTGAACCTGGGCCTTTCCATATTCAAATTTGGCATTCTGGCCATTGTAACACAGTGGTCTGAGCACTGAGAGCACAGTTTGGCCAGTGATGTGAAAGATGTTCACCTAAGATCATAAGAGGCATTGCCATTCTGGCCTAAAAGGATGAAAATATGATCTGGTATAAGGGAAATTTGTATTCTTCTAAACGTTTTGTAGAAATCATGTAAATAGGACCATCCTGTGGCTGGATATCCCACAGACTTCCAGTAATTACAGTGGTAATATTGCCCATATGGAGCAATATATAAATATTTTTAAGATTTCTGTCCAGGATTTGAAAGACTGCTCCCAGAGGAAGCTACTTTACTTTGGGAACTTGTACCTCTGTCCTGACTACTTTAGTTAGACGTAAGCTCAGTGAGTTAGGTATCAGACTCCAAAGTTGGGGGTTTGATTCCCCATTGTGCCTCCTGGGAGAAGAATCAGTCTGTGTAGCCTTGGGCAAGCTGCAGAATTTCAGAAGTGTCTCCAGAAGAAGGGATGGTTAAACCACTTCAGAGTACTCTGTACCTAAGAAACCTTACAAAGAGACACCGTAAATTGGAATTGACTTGACAGTGTGTAAATAATTAAAATCTCACTAATGTTAGTGAAAAGTTCTTCCGTATAAATTGTTCAGGTTTAGAGCAGTAAGTGCTTATTTCTTTTAGGGCCTGGTTACATTACTTATATGCTTGGGAATATGTGGTGGTGTTTTTGGATTCGGTTTAAAGACACATGATAGTCACATGGTATTTGAATGGCTGTTTGTGTTTCTGTGGGATAATTTTTAATGTGTTGCTTTTTAAAGTTCTGTATCGATGTTGGAGACTATACATGAAATTTAAGCCATGCTCATTTAAACTGGTTGTTGTAGGTTTTTTAGGCTGTTTGGCCATGTTCTAAAGACTATACAGACTTCCCAAAATTTCAGTACACGGCCAAAAAGCCCGAACAACCTACAACAACCATCGGATCCTGGCCGTAAAATCCTTTGAGAATACTCATTTAAACTGTTAGGCAGTTTTTAGAGAAAATCTGTGTCAATTGAAAGGAGGACATGGCTCGTATCTGTCTTAATCTAATTCAGCCTGCCCTTCTCTGTATGTTTTTGTGAGCACACCACACACAAATGTGGTGTGTTTATGGGAAGGCAAGATGAGAAAGAGGACAGAGTGGGAGGTGGTCTCATTTGCCATCCAGCTCTGCCTGCCTCTGTGCAGAAGGGAAAGAGAGACCACAGTCACCTCCTGTCAGCCTCCTCCCCACAAATGCTGTTGCTATCCCAGGTTGCTGCTGGCACCCAGTCCCTGCTTGGGACACCAGCAACCACCTCAGAATGTAGAGGGGCAGAAGCTCACCAAACCACCATCAAATCATAAAGGCCATCTGTGCCCACAGAGTACAGCCGAGAATTCAGGTATCCGTTGGCTCATGGTTAAAAAGCATGTATACAAGGCATGGATCCTCATGACTCCATAGGATGTGTAGATGAACTCTTCCCTAAACCATTGTCAGATTATAGTTCCCATTTATGCTGCACCACAGAAATCATGGGCACATGGCTTTGCAGTGATGCAAAAACACAGACTCCAGGCATGGATCCGTATATTTATGTAGGATCATCTGTGGGCAGAGATGCTATCTGTGATTGAAAGTGGTTTGTGGATGCTCTTACATAAAAACCATGTGAATCTACCCCCCCCTTTTTTTTCTGCCCCACTGCAAAGACAGCTATCACTTAGGCTATGCATCTCACCCACCTCTTGCCTACAACCCTGCACCTCAGGCTTTCCCATTTGCCTGTCTCAAGGCAGGCATGCTTGTGAACACACACACGCATGCATGCACACATACACACAGGTGGAAGTTGCAAATCCTTCGGACACAGTTTACAGCAATAGAGGCATTCTCATATGCCAAAACAATTCACATTACATTGATTTTTACAAGCAACGTAAAGAACCCTCTTCCCAGCTAGTAAAATATTTCACTTTCTGACAACAACAAAAAGGCTTCCTGGGAGAGGAGGGAAATGAGCTTTCTTTTGGTTTAGTCACCTTTAAAAAATCAATTTAAAACATGCTAAAGCCAAATCAAAGGCCATTTCTTTTGGTAATGGGGCCAAAGTCTTAGAGTTGCTTTACACATGCAGGTACATCATTTGCTGGCTGAACATGTAACTTGCAAAAGTGTGTATGAACGAGGGCTAATGAAAAGCACTGTGCTTTAGAGTGATGGCAGATTAAATAGAGTTCTGTTCGAGATGGTGAAACTGCAGTAGTTATATTGACTATTGCATGGGGATTCCTCACTTCAAACTATAGGATAGTGCCATTTGTTCAAATGCAACTACATATTAAGGAATGATGGTAAAAGAGGTAGGTAAAGGGGGTGTTACATCTTACCTTCTTCCACATCCCCTCACCCTCTCTCCTAGTATCACATTTCCTCCACCTAAGGTCCAGTTACCTTAATCCATATAAAACTGCTGGTGGGGAAGGCATGGGGAGAGGAGCAGTGGGAATTCGTATGATCACGTCCCTTCCTCTCAAGCTCTCATCCATTTTGCTCTAAAAAGCATTCTCTCACACTTTTTAAGCGACTCGAGTTGATGATGTCCAAGAAAAGTTAGTTTAGCACTAGTTTTGCTATAGGTTGAGGCTTAATTATATTAATCCACAGTATTTCTTAATGGTGACACTGGAAACTAAAGACTGCAAAACTTCAACATGGGGAAAGATTGATGAACAACCTTGTGGGTTTTTTCTGTGGTTAACGTTGAAAGAAGGCTGCTTCTATGAAAGAGAAATGAATGTTGATTGTATGATGCCAGCAGCAGTGACCCTCATCTGTCCACATGCATTATATAACTAGCCTAATTCCTGGAGCAGGTCTACAGCGCTTAGAAATGTTTGAATATATTTGTACAATAAACATTCATTGTTCATATGCAAAAATGTGTACATACCGATTAGTTATATATTCTTAAATGTTGCTACAAGGATAATCCCTTGCTCCTGCAATGTAAAAGTCATCTTTTAACAATGGGGAAATGATATAGGGCATGTATCATTTACCCATAGTTTAAAGATTGCTTTTTCTACATTTTCCCCTATATAGATGACGTGTTTCTTCCCCAGCATTAGGACAAATATTTTCTAGCAAGAATAATAGTAACAGTAACATTTTTAGAAAAAGAAGTTGGTCTCCTATGGAGTTAAGTGCTCTGGAAATGTAGCCCTTTATAGAATTGCATTAGTGTGGCATCCATGGATTGTCCTGGTTCTCTGACCTTATGGTTATCTTTTGAAGTCCCTTTGTGTTACATTGTTTTCAAGACAGGAAGCTAGAAACCTGCACACAAGAAAATGGTGAAAGCTCCCATTTCCATCATTTAGCAACCCTTGTTTAATATGGTACCCTTGAACGATGGCGTCACTTCCTATTCTCTATAGAACATAGTCGCTACAGTTCCACATCTACATTTTAAAGATAACACAAGCCTCAGAAGTTGGTTTCTTAGTCCGTTCCACCTAATGGTGTGTAGAATATCGATGAATTATAACAGATGAAAACAAGACAAAAATAAAAAATAAAGAAGACAAAAGCATTGTGGCATCTTAAAGACTAACTGCTATATTTTAATAGGAGCTTTCATGGACAAATCCACTCCAAACGGCTGTGGAAAAACAGGGTGCTGAGCCTTGGGCCTGCTCTATCTGTCATGTAACTTTTAATATTCTCCCATTTCCAAATGAAAAATAAAATAAGGAATAGGGCAGGTACAAGATATGAATACACACTCTCTGCCTCAGCTCCTAATTTGTAAATAAGCCTTTTAAAAATAATATCAGTAATTAAACAAAACTTCTAATTTAAACAAAGTTTAGTCGAGAATAATTTTCCTTAGCTCCAGATAGTAAAAATTATTCTTGGGACATTAGTATTATACTGTTTAGTGGATAGAATTTACTGGAAAATCTGGCTGTACAGATCCTTCTCTGACAAGAGCTGTCATGTTTTCCTGCAACTCCCACGTATTTCTCCAAAGCAGGCAAGGAAGTTCCCAGTGAATTGTGCCCTTTGAGGTTTTCTGTGCCTCTCAGAACTGTTGTTTGAAATGTTGTAGACATGTATCTAGCTAGTATGCATGTTGCCGTAGTCTGTACTGTGCTGTGGCACCACAGAAGTGTGTTCATGCTCTGGGTCCCGCTAGGCAGCATGATACAGTACATATGTGTAAAACGAAAGTCTGGGATACAGATGCTCAGTAGAAGAATGTAGCTGAGAAAGCTCTAATGGTTGGAAAAATTGAAACCATAAGACAGACCTCAAAAGAGAGTATACCAAATCAAAGGATAGCAGTACTTTTAAGCCTTTATTGTTTGTGCCTCTTATCTCAAAGGGATCTGCCAAATTAGAAAAAGCAGAAATCCTGCAAATGACAGTGGATCATTTGAAGATGCTCCAGGCGACAGGCGGGAAAGGTAAGGAATTGATTTTTGTCCTGGTTCTAATATTAGCCGGTGTGTGTGTGTGAGTGAGTGAGTGGGGAAAACCTTAGCAAATGTTCCTTTTGACAAAGCTGGTGGATAGGCCGTTCTGGATTAAAAGAGTGGAAATCAGTGCTAAAGGCAGGGCTGAACTCGTGGGAAAGAGCTACTGGGACAAAAGGAGTACTTGACCCCCGGCTTGTGTTTGCTTTCATAACACTGTGGGAGAGTAAAGGCTTCATTCACATGCAGCCCAGTCAGAGATTTGTTTGGGGTTTCCAAAGAGCACTGAAATCGGCACAAGGGAGACAAAACAAATACCCCAAACATCCAAACATAAACAAGGAGGGGGTGAGGCAACAATTGTGCTGCAGTGAAACAAAACCAGAGTTAAAATTCATTATGCAGCTGCTAGACCACGGGAAGTGGATCCAGAGGAAACTTTCCTTATTATTTGTGTATTGCCTTTTGTTCTAGAAAGAATGTTTTCCATGAAAAAATTAGGCCGTTGCCATTCATTCACCAAGACAGCATCTAAACTTGGACCTTCTGAGTGTTGAGAGGAAACCCAATACCACAAGGAAAGAAATCCACAATAAGTCCTTATTTTGTGTGCTTGTACGTTTGTTGTGTGGAAATGAGAGTCTAGTACAAAATGTGGTTTTGGGAGACAATGTGTCTTACTGAGTCTCATAAAAAAGCAAGTGACTGGCTCTTACTGACTTAGGGGAAAAGTTTGGAAATGTGCTTAGAGTACACAGTGGAGATTTAGAAATTAAAGGGGAAATCTGAAAACTTAAAGGTGAGTTTAAAATATTTAATAATTTGTCCTGTTCATTTTTAATTGTTTGAATTGTATGTATAAATTGTTTCATAAGAAAAAAACCAATAAAAATATGAGTGGGATCAGTAACAAAATGTTACAGTGAGTAGCACTGATACTTTATACCTTTCTAGAATTTTCTCTTTGAAAGCTCTTCATGCACAAGAGTATTGCATGGCCATTGGGCATCCTCTTTGCAAGGTTTGTCTTGCCCACCACAAAAGATTTTTTGCACTTCTATAAACAGTGGGGTCCCACAAGCATTCTAGTCTTTCCCATATGTATGAAATCAGAGCTTGGAAAGTTACCTTAAAAATGTAACTTTTTCCTGTTACTATAGGATATAAAAAGTAATCTCTTGCCATCGCTCAATACAATGTTGCTTGTTGCTTTTTTTGTTCCTTTTTGTTCCCTTTTTAAACGCCTAGAATTGGTTTTAAAAGGCATAAAACCAGAGAAATTATGTGAAAATACCTTAAAATACTGTCAAAATTAATTTTTAAAAGCAATTAAAATTGATGTTTGTTACTTGAGTCGAGATACATTGTTTCCACTTGTATTTCCGAAATGTTATATAAATAGTACTATCTTGGTTACCCAAGAACAGATACTTAAAGAATTGAGATCACTGTGTAATGGAGAACAGAAAGGTTGCTTGATTATTTCCATAATGAAATCGTATGTACTGTGGATTACAAGTTCAATTATTTCCTTAGTTATGAACTTATTAGTCATGAACTCATTATTAAAGCTGTTTGTTTGTTTGTTTGTTTGTTTGTTTGTTTGTTTGTAAAGCTGTTTGTTTGTTTGTTTGTTTGTTTGTTTATTTATTTATTTATTTATTTATTTATTTATTTATTTATTTATTTATTTATTTATTTATTGCATTTATAGCCAGCCCATCTAGTCATATAGACTACTATACGGGTAACAACATATCATGTAACCTAATTGTTATAACAGTTGTGGCGATCGTCCTCGTTGCCCCTGTTTATTATGGCCCTCACAAAGGATCACACCCTTATTCTCTTCTAGCTGTCACCAGGTATTCTCCTAGTACCAATTATGTTATACACGTGTGCTGCCAACACTAAGGGTTATTGAACTTAGGAATCAGAAGTTTGATTAACAAACATTCTTTTATTGTAAAGTAAATCATAAAGGTAAATCGTATATGAACTGTATCAGGTATTAACACGGATTGGATCATATAGGCAATCACTTTTATTCCAAACTGCTGTATGCTTTCAATCAATATCTCACTTATACCACTTATAATAACTGTTACCTAACCTCTGCAATAGGGAAATACTTATTTTAGGGTTGTTACAAGAATTCCTCATACAGTGTATGAGAAGTGTTTTGAGCATGCTAAAGTACTATATAAATAATCATTATTACCAACTGGGACATCTGCCAGAGAGTAAGTCTGGGAGAGCTTGTTCTCCTGCCCTTGAGCAAGGCAGTGTTTCTCAGCTCACCTTTGCTTCATTGGATTGTTGCAGTGATAAAAATGATGGCCTTTTCATTTCAGTTTTCTCTACCACGTGAGCCTTTGTCAAATTATTTACAATTTTCTGGGCACCAGAATATTGCATATAAAGAGTTCATCTTTGGTATCTCTTTGGCAATCCACAAAATTGGATGCACAGTGTAAGATATGAATTTACTGTGTGTAGTTTTTGTCTTAAAATAGATTTTGCTTTAAAACTAAAGACTCAGAGATATGTGTTTCTAAGAACTGGTGATTTCAAACAATGGCAGGAATGTTTTCTTTTAATGTAACTTGTCTGAGAGGCATGGAACTTGTGACAGCCACTAAATCACTAATTGCATCCAATATAATGTACCGTAACACAGTGGTCCCCAACCTTGGGCCTCCAGATGTTCTTGGACTTCAACTCCCAGAAATCCTGGCCAGGAGAGGTGGTGGTGAAGGCTTCTGGAAGTTGTAGTCCAAGAACATCTGGAGGCCTAAGGTTGGGGATCACTGTAACAGTCCATGTTATATGGATAATATAATTTTGTGTGTTCAAGAATTGTATTTTCTGGGGCATGCACCTGAATGCAAGGCATCTTGGTCTGATATAATCTTGGTGGATATAGAATAGTTTTTAATCAGTAGTACATTGCTTGATAGCATACCTAAAGGTATGTTTATCCTAATGAAATGTTTCCCCACCTTGGATAACTCAAGTGTTCCTGGACTGCAACTCCCAGAAACCTTCACCACTGGCTGCACTGCCCTGGGTTTTTGGGAGTTGCAGTCGAAGAACACTTAAGTTACCCAAGGCTGAGAACCACTTTTCTATTAAATTGACACATAAACACAACAGGGGTTGTTGTGCATATGTGTCAGTATATTAGAACAAACTTAATGCTTCCCCATACAGAGTTTATATATGTTTAATGAAAGACAATCCCATCTTGCACTTCTTAAAAGCCAGAGAGACTTTTTCAGATTGGTTTTTGAATTTATATTTCCAATTGTATTTTTCTTGATCATAATAGAAATGTTGATATTTTGAACATCTTTGTACCATGTCAGGTTAAAACATCTGTTCATCTGCCATTTGTCCTTTAAATAAATCCATGTCCCATCCCTCTAAAACAGGCATTAATGATATAATGGTTTCTTAATAGCCCCCCACGTAGGATCTGAGCATGGTGACTTCTCTCCTGTGACCCAGCAGCTGATGGGTATCTGTGTTCCTGGTGCCTGATGTGAACCTATCCTGGTTCATAGCTCTTTGTAGACCCTTTCTGTATGTATATAGCCACCCTACATCTTTTGGAAGTAAATGCAGTAATTAAATTCTGAGGTGCACAAAGAGGTATTTCCTTTGTCATGTCCTGAATATCCCACCATTGAGCTTTATTGGGAAATATTACTTTGCAGGATTATGAACCATGGGAAACTTCTTTCCACTGACTTCCTCTCCACTAGCCATTCTCAACAAGGGGCCATATAGCTCCTTGGGGCCCCAGGCACATGTGAAGGGGGGCACACACTGGAAACAATAATTTACACATCACCTTAGGTTCATTATGTGACTTACACAATCCTGATTCAGCCTACATTTCTTGCATATTGTGTTTATGACCGTGCGAAAAATGGTTGAGATTGGCTGCTCTAGACCATGTTTAGATACTGTATATATAGAGAGGTTCAGCACTCCATGATGAGAACAGGGAAGGCTTCCCTCCAACATCTTCATTTCTTTGGACAAAACTATAGGAGTCATATTTCCAAGAGGAGCTGGTGGTCTGAGTGGGGAGGGCTACCCTGGAAGGGTGGGGGTCAGGCTCACGCTACAGATTGCCTGTACCTCTATCTTGCCTTTCTTATATGCACTCACACCTTCATCTCTCTCTTCTTCCTTTCCTTCCCCCTTTTCCTTTCTTCCTTCCCTCCCCTGTCCAGCTCCCCACATCAACACAGCTTTAAAAAACTGATGCCAATGGTAGCTTTTCCCGGAATCAATTGCATTGATGGCAGTGGCGACTGTTTTTCAGTGGCTAATGGAAAGGGGAGAGGTTTTTATTTATTTATTTATTTGAAGCATTTAAAGCATTTCTTTACCCTTTTTCCTGGCAGAGCTCCTGAAGTAGTGTGCCTTTCCACCCCAAAAGAGAATCCTACAATTTAAAACCACCCTCCTGGCAAGGAGAAAATAAAACAATCGCTGAGGCAAATGAATCAGTGTTATCTGTGTGTCATGTGAATGGCTAATGTTCCTGGCAGAGCTCCTGAAGTAGTGTGCCATGTTTAACCCTTTCTACCCCAAAAGAGAATCCTCCTACAATTTAAAACCACCCTCCTTGCAAGGTGGAAATAAAACAATCGCTGGGGCAAATGAATCAGTGTTAGCTGTGTGTCATGTGAATGGCTAACAATCCAAATAACAGCCAAAATAATATAACTGGGATTCTTTTGGCATGTGTGATCAACCCCTCAGTTTTCTTTGGATTTCTGGTCTGCAGGCTCCATATGGATTGGTACTTGAACCAAGGTTTAGAAAATCTTTCACAATTTCATATTTTTCATAATTAAAAGTAAAATTATCTAATTCTATAATCATTATTTTTCTTAATAATCCAGTGTTCCCCTGCTTTTGCACTTTCTTTAACCTTCATGAATACTTATGTCAAATCAATATGGTGTTTATCTGCATACAGTATCTTAACGTTTTGTTTTTCTTCCATCAATTTTCACTTCTCTTTCATTTGAATCTAATCCAGCATTTCATATGATAATTTATATGTATAGATTAACCACTAACTGACACTTTTTCCCAAAGGGAAACAACTCTGTTTCTCTGTAGTCTGTTGTTACAGGTTACACATCAGATCATTCAGCGGTTGTGATGCACTTGTTTCTTTTAGAACAATCCACAGCTTTTTATGAACTAAACAGAGCCAAAGGTTGTACTATAATCTATAAAGTGCAAGATGATTTTCTTCTGAAACTTTAATATATTCAAGTACACAAAATATACTTGAAATACAATCTCTGGTGCCTCTTCCTTTTCAGCATCTGGCATTTCTTGCTGCATATATGGAAAAGTATTTGTTCATTATCTTGTGGTTGCAATTTATGCCTCTTAGTCATTGTGCAAGGGATTCAATTTTTGACATTAGAACAGATGCATGCGCCTATATCTAGGTGAAGCTTGCAGTGTTGTACAACATACATTGTGGCTGGATCACTTATATTCCACAAGTGCATTGCATAATGCTGTGCTGCTCCTTCTTCATCTCCTGCTCTGTATGTACTATGTAGTTATGCTCTGCAAATACAAACAGGATAGTAGTGTTTGTAGTAAAATCTTGAGCATCACTTTGCTTGCACAGAGAGCTACTGTGATCATCCTATAGCTACTCTTTGGCAATTCCTGTCTTTGGAATTAGAATGTACACTGAACATTCCCAGCCTGTGGGCTATTGTTTGGTTTTCCATATTTGTTGGCATGTTCTTGTTCGGATTTTGATAAAAACAGTGTCTGTAGCTTGAAATAGCTCACAGAGTCTGGCAATTCATTTATTTTAGTTGATGTGAGAATATCTGTCACTTTAATTTCTAAAATTAATTAGTCTGGTGTCTCACGACTTTGCTCATTCCACTTAGGGTGACTCTACTAGGAGGTTAAACACATTACAGAGTTTAGTCTCCTGACAGAATTGCTTTGTTTCCCTGACACACTCAGACACACACACCCTATCATGTAAGGGTGTGCATACAAGAAGGGGATTGGTAGAATATATTCTGCATTTAATTTCCTTCAGACCTCAATCTGGAGCTCAGTCTCCGACTAGACATACAGTATCACTGCAGCCATCTTTCCAAATCACCCCACAACCCCACGACTAGACATACAGTATCACTGCAGCCATGGTGGCTCTTATCTTTCCAAATCACCCCACAACCCCCAAAGGGATGCCCGCTGTAGTACTTCAGTGTCTGTTAGTGGTCACTCTTCACCCCAGGTGAAGCAATTACATATGCTGCCCAACATGAAAATTTCTTTGAGTATTTGCTTTTTTAATGTTTGCCTAAACAGTGAGTTAGTTACCTGGTTGCAGAGTCAAAGGTTTGGAGTTTGATTCCCTACTGTGTGTCCCAGGAGAAGGGCCAGCCTGTTTGGCCTTGGGCAAGCTGCACAGCCACAGGGAACCCAAGAAAAAGGGAATGGTTGGCCACTGCTAAATACTCCATACATAGAAAATCCTTAAAAGAGTTGCCATAATTTGACAGGACATCATCATTATTGTCCAGATTGGTTGTTTTATATTTCAATGTTTAATTGATTACTTAAATTGTTTTATTTTATTTTTTCTTCATCTCTTTGAGACATCAGAAGATACAGAATGCAGTGGAGAAATTGAATAACAACAACTACACTACCATTTTATGAAACAGGTTATAGTGTTTGCAGGAGTGCTATAATAAATGTGTTAGTTCTTGAGGTGTGTGAGGACTCTTTATTTTTATTTGGACAGGCAAATGAATCTGCCCCTTTGGATACTATGAGAGGTCTGCCCTCTTTGGGGCCAGACCGGGAACCACCAGCCTGTTAAATGCATTTCTTCTTCTCTGTGTTCCAGGTTACTTTGATGCTCACGCTCTTGCCATGGATTTCATTAGCATTGGGTTTCGAGAATGTTTAACAGAAGTTGCAAGATATCTGAGCTCGGTGGAAGGCCTGGACACCGCCGATCCCCTGCGAGTTAGACTGGTCTCTCATCTCAGTTCTTGTGCTTCTCAGAGGGAAGCGGCTGCAATGACCTCGTCCATGGCACATCACCACCATCCTTTGCACCCTCATCACTGGGCTGCAGCTTTCCACCATCTCCCAGCAGCTTTGCTACAGCAAAATGGACTACATTCCTCTGACCTCACTCCCTGCAGACTCTCCACGACATCCGAAGTGCCTCCTCACGGGTCAGCTCTTCTCACAGCTACTTTTGCTCATGCTGACTCCACGCTGAGAATGCCCTCTGCTGGCAGCGTTGCCCCCTATATCCCACCACTTTCTACCTCTCTCCTCTCACTGTCTGCTACGGTGCATGCTGCAGCTGCAGCTGCGGCTCAGAGTTTTCCTCTGTCATTTGCTGGGGCTTTCCCAGTGCTTCCCCCAAGTGCAGCAGTGGCAGCAGCTACAGCCATCAGCCCACCATTGTCTGTGTCAACAACTGCCAGCCCTCAGCAGTCCAGCAACAGTGGGAACAGCAAACCATATCGGCCATGGGGGACTGAAGTTGGAGCCTTCTAAATGTTCTTTCCACCAGCCTTTCTAGGACATCCTATAGGACAAAATGTGGCTTGTTAACAGATGAAACAGCACAATGGATTCACACACAAAAAGGAAAATGAGGAGCAATACAAATGTTTTGCCTGAGGTCTGGTCAAAATGGACATGAGGTATTTCTTTTTTATTTGTTTGTTTGAATTAGGCATCATATTGGACTACAGCGATCTTCAAAATAATGACTCCCATGTTACCATAAGTGCATTTTCTGAGACATGGACAAACTGTAGAATTAATCTTCCTGCTATGCATTTTTATTTGTCAGAGGGGTAATAATAGACTGTAGGTATAAAAAAAACTTTCCTGAAAGATTAATATTGAGTCTGAAATATGTAAGTGCCTGCCCTCTTCCAAATGTTTGGTGTTTGTGTGCGAGTTTCTGTTTTAATTTCTAATGCAGATAGTTACTGTGCAAGTATGAAGATGATGCTGGAGAGAAAAATATTGGGATTTGGAATCATGGGGTGAAATTCAAAAGAGAGCAAAGGATTCTGAAGCAAAATGCAGAATGCAAGGCTTCAATCCTTTGACATAAGTGAAATCTAAGCAACCTCACTGGCAGCAGGGCTGCAATCTAAGAATAGCAAAAGAGGTTGTTGATTCTGCAAACACTTAATCTCACAAATTTACTTGCGGCAAACAATGACATGCAGGATAGATCTTTCCAGCTTTGGTCCAGGAGGCTTCAAGCTTGCTGTCACTTAGCATAAAACAAATGGCTTAAAATTATAGACATGTACATGTGTGTGAGAGAGCGCTTGTGTGTGAACATCAAGATAGTTCTATATACGGGTTGGCACCCTTTTCTATGTCATTGTCTAGCTTCCTTTAGAGCAGTTTGTCCGAATCCACAAAGTAAGTGGTGGTTGAGACTGAAAGCAGCTGGGGAACAGCGCAACAGCCAATAGTTGGCACACTCATTCATCTCTTTTCGCTCCCTTTCTGCCATCCTCTTCCCTCTCCCTCTCCCTCCCTCTCTGTCTGTCCTCCTCTTGTCTCTCCCCACTCTTTCTCTTGCATATATTGTAATTGAAAAGGAGGAAAGTGATTGTTTTAGTGGCCTAATCTGAAGGCTTGCAGAAGGCTTTTGAAACTAGGCGGAGAGCTGCATTCATGTCTGGGGATGCCAGTTGCCCACCCCATTCTATATAAATGAAATGCATTTGTACATACTCATAGCTGGCATTTTTGGTTCCTTTTACAAACTAAAACACAGCTTCCTCCTGACAAGACACAAAACCTTTTTCTCTCCATTGTTTCCCCTTGGGTAAAGGCATGAATGAGTAGCTGTAATATAGTCAGTGGTACCCACTGGGTTGACTATTGCTACTGCCAGTCCTTTTGTGTGGGTTTGATTGACAACCCAAATGGATTTGTTGAGGATGTAAGTTATTTTCCTATTGTACAGATAAGCAGTGCTGCAAAATGTTTTGCCTTTTTTTTCTTACAGTGACATGAAGTAATATTTTAATTGCTTGACTCACAAATTTGAAAGTTGATGTTAGGGAAGCAAGTCAAATAAAAGCACAGCATGTATTATTATGCACTTCATTTCTCTGCTGTGTGGAGAAAGCAATAAACATTGAGAATGTTAAACATTATGCAAAATATACTTTTAAAATATTTGTTTTAAAAATACTGTTCATAGTTGGGAGGAGGAGAAAATTGTTCATTATTTTGTTAACCTTTTTTCTATGCAAATGTCTTTACATATCACTAATTAAATGAGGCCCTTTTTTTGACTGGTTTCTGGAGGATTTTTTTTTTGCTGTGGTATGTCGGTTAGCAATGAAATGACTTGATGAGTTTAAGGCAAGCCCAGATGAGGGCAGCTTCACTGTGTAGGGGGAGACGCATAATGCATTACACAAATGAAAATATGAGAATTGGTTTTTTAAAGTTTCTGTTTAATAGAAAGTTTCCTGAGTGGATGGTAAAATCATGCTAAAAATATACTGAGCACTGATGGTGATTTTCCTTCCAGCCTAGGGCAAATAGCAGTCGCGGGGAACCTCATCTACATCAGGACTGCCTTAGGGTTGGCTCTCGTGTCCATACATAGTATCATGTCTCCGTGTAATCGGAAGGAAAGGAAAAAAGTACACACATTCCACTCACATCTCTAATATCATGTTGGGCTTTACCTTTATAGTGGTCCATGATGTTTGCTGTGACTTATCTGTCATATATAAACAAGACTGGTAACTATAGTTATTCAACCTTAATGTCTTTGTTCTTCCCTCTCCACTAAATCTTACAATTATGTTCCAGAGTAGATTTACAGAAAAGGGAAAAAGAAGTATACATTTTGTGTTTGCCTCACACAGCAGAAGGCAGTGAAAAGCTTCTGCTTGTTATTAATAATAATCTCACCAATTATATTTTACTTTGGAATATGCTAACAGAATATATTCAAGAGCATGGGAAAGCTACTTTTTTAAAATTAAAACTCTCCCAAGTCTACTGGCAAAGCTGACTGGGAGGACCGTGGGAGCTAGTCTTTAAAAAGTGACTTCTTCTTGGTCTTAAAGAATCTTTAAATTCAGCACACAGAAGGATATAGATGAGGGAATGTTGCTGGACTGTGGAGAACCCTGTATCCTTGTCAAGAAACCTCTGCAACTATTCTGATGCAACCACCATTTTATGAATATTCTGGGTCAGACATGGTGCAGTGGTGCCCCATTGCTGTTGTACTCCTACACAACTAGGTTTTCAATATATATATATATACCTCCTATCATCCTTGATTACTGGTGATGCTGGTTGGGCTGAGGAAGTTAGAGGCCAATGTAACCTGGAGAATGGCAGGTACCTTACCACACAGTAGATCAGCAGGTAACATCTAGCCTTCCAGATGCTTTGGATTCAACAAGAAATCTCAATCAATATAATAATCATAATAATCATAATAA